GGTCCGCGCCAAGCTTCGTGTCGTGAAGGTGCCGACGCGGTTCCCTGCAGTAGGCATGCACGATAAGAGGCCGTGCTGTGAGAAAGCTCAGAGCACGCTTGTCGTCGAGCTCAGAGCTTCCCGAGGCGCCCACGGCTTCTGTGGGCCCCCAAAGGCCATCGAGAAATGAGAACCTTCCGCGGAGCACCTGCCGACACGCCGCTCTCTGATTTGACGTGCCTGCTCCATCAGAGCAGAAAACTGAATGGACATAAGCTTTCAGAGGTCCGCGCGGATGTTCTTGATCGGCGCTGGGTCCCCCTCCCTGGCGCTCGGAGCGCTGCAGGCGCGGCGCCGGAGGCGCCGCCAAGGGGGACCCAAGCGCTGATCCAAGAGATCCGCGAGGACCTCCGAAACACAATGAGCATGCCTTGTTGTGTTACTTCCGTAGATACATCCGGCCAGCCTGCTCGCACGATCCTGTGACTTGGGTCCTCGTCTTCAAGTCGCAGCGCCGCGCGTCTCACTCCTCTCCTCTCCTGCTCCCCATCATTCGTCCTCCTTCTTCCTCCTCCTCCTCCTTCTCCGCTTCTGGGTCCTCCTCCTCCTCCTCCAAATCCTCCTCCTACCCCTCCTGCTCCTCCTCCTCCTCCTCCTCCTCCTACTCCTCCTCTACCTTCCGCGTATCCGTTTCGGCGCACACCTCACACGCTTCGTGGACCCACAAGGAGCCTATCGAAGGCTCTAGCGGCAGTGCTAGCATGGTGAAACGCCCCATTTCGGCACACCACTCACACGCTTCGTGGCCCCATGAGGAGCTCCACCGAAGGCCCCGGTAGCTGGATTCACATGGTGCCCCGCCCCATGTCGCCGGCCCCATGGGACGCTCCACAAAAGGCTCCAGGGGCTAGGTTCACACGGTGACCCGCCCGACCCTCACAGGCTTCGAGGCCCCATCGGGAGCCCCACCACAGACCTCAGTGGACGGATGCACTTGGTGACCCGCCGCATTTCGTCACACGCTTCGTGGCCGCATAGGGAGCTCCACCGAAGGCGAAAGTGGCTGGGTTCACATGGTGACCCGCGCCAGTTCGGCAACCCCCTCACAAGTTGTGTGGACCCATTGGGAGCTCCACTGAAGGCCCCAATGGCTGAGTTCACATGGTGCCCGGCCCCATTCCGACACATCTCTCACACGTTTCGTGGCCCCACAGGGAGCCCCACCAAAGGCTCCAGTGGGCGGGGTCACATGGTGCCCCGACACAGTTTGGCTGACTTCTCTAACGTTTCGTGGCCCCGTTGGGAGCTCCACCGAAGGCCCCAGTGGCTGGGTTCACATGGTCTCCCGCCCCATTTCGGCAGACTCCTCAAACGCTTCGAGGCCCAACATATCGACAGCACCCCTCACACGTTGTGTGGCCCACCGAAGGCCCCAGCGACTGGGTTCGCGTGGTGGTCCGTCCCTTGTCGGCAGACCCCTCACAGGCTTCGTAGCCCCATCGGGAGCTCCACGGAAGGCCCCAGTGGCTGAGTCCACATGGTGGCCCGCCCAATTTCGGAGAACCACTCAGACGCTTCGTGGCCCCAGGAGGAGCTCCACCGAAGGCCCCAATTGCTGGGATCACATGGTGCCCCGCCCCATTTCGGCGGACCCCTCACAGGCTTCGTCGCTCCACAGGGAGCTCCACCGAAGACTCTAGTGGTTGCGTTCGCATGGCGTCGCCCCACACCATTTCGTCACACATACCCCTCGCACGCTTTGTGGTCCCTCTCGTTTGCGATGTGAGTCGCGAGAGTGCATGCGTGAAGGGGAAACGTTGAGCGCGGCCTGACGTTCTTCGGCGAAGCGTTCAGGGGCACTGCGGTTACCTCAGCTTGATATTGTGCATTGAACGGCCCTGCTTACAATCGCCTCGTAAATGGAAAGCGTCGGGTGTTTCGCCATGCTAGTTGATCATGAGATCAGCCGGCTATTCCAAACCCTCCTCCCCGATCTCACCATCATTATCCAAGTCCTCCTCATCCAAAGTCCTGCCTCTTGGTATGTTATCCCCTTCAAATTGCCCTGTTGGACGGCCGCGAACCTGCTTGGCATCGCAGTACAACTTCTGGATCGCCTTCCAGCTGGGCTCCCAGCCAATCTGTCGGTACGCCTGCGAACACAAGCGGCCGTAACAGATACGAATCATGGCGATCCCGATCGACAACATGTCTGCCATCATCCTTCTTCTGTCTCGTCCTCCTCCTCCTCCACCTCCTCCTCATCATCATCAGCATCATCATCAGCATCAGCAGCATCATCATCAGCATCATCAGCATCAGCAGCATCATCATCATCAGCATCCTTCTCCTTCTCATTATCCTTCTCCTCCTCCTGCTCCTCCTCCTCATCCTCCTCCCCCTCCTGCTCCTCATTATCATCATCCGCCTTAGCATCCTCCTTATCGTCGTTTTCATCGTCACCCCTCCTCCTCCTCCTCCTCCTCCACTCCCTGTCGCACCCCGATGCCAGTTTTTAGGGCGGGTCGGGCGTTTCGCCTGAGACTCTCTCACCATGTATGACTCTGAAGCTTAAAAGGTGACAACAGTTTCACAGATGGAGGGCGGGTGGTTTTCACAATGTGGCTCTCGCCTTAGCGCCGCGCACAATCGCGTTCAAAATGTGCAAGAGCTTCACGGATTGAGCGCGGGTCGTTTTCAAAATGTGGCTCTCGCCGTAGCGCCGCGCACATTCGTTTCAAACGTTACAAGAGTTTCGCGGATTAAGGGCGGGTCGTTTCCAAAATGTGGCTCTCGCTTTCGTGCCGCGCACATTCGTATTAACAAATTGCAAGAGTTTCACTGGTTGAAGGCGGGTCGTTTTCAAAATGTGGCTCTCGCCTGGGCGCAGCGCACAATCGCCTTCAAACTTTGCAAGTGCTTCACGGATTGAAGGCGGGTCGTGTTCAAAATGTGGCTCTCGCCTGGGCGCAGCGCACATTCGTTTCCAAAAGTCGCAAGAGCTTCACGAATTGAAGGCGGGTCGTGTTCAAAATGTGGCTCTCGCCTGGGCGCAGCGCACGTTCGTTTTCAAAATTTGCAAGAGCTTCACGGATTGAGGGTGGTTTCTTTCCCAAATGTGTATCTCGCCTTAGCGCCACGCACATTCGTATTAAAAATCGAAACAATTTCACGGATGCCCATGATCGACGTACCAGAAACGGTGTTTTGGAAAGATTCAGGATCATGCGGGTGCAACAGTTATGTTGATTTGCGGTGCTGAAATCCCAAAAACGGCGTTATGGCACAATTCTGGATCGTCAAAACGAAGCCGTCAATTTGATACGTGGTGTTGAAATCCCGAGAAAAATGTTTTGGCATGCTTCAGGATCTTCAGACGGGTGTCTTCCAACGAGGTCGTTCCCTCAATGGAAATGAACCGTTGTAGTGACCTATGAAGAGGGAGCTTGAAGGGAGGGTCAATTCCAACATCGTTGATAACTCTTGCGTTTACACTGGTCTTCCTCCTCATCCTCCTTCTCCTCCTCCGCCGCCTCCTCTTATCCATCATCCTCTTCTCCCTCCTCCTCCTCACTCCATGCTTCGTTTATCCAGGTTCATAACCCTGCTTTTCGATTTGACCGTTTGTGGATGGGCATGCTGGCGTACGCGGACCGCAAAGAATGGATGGTTGCAGTTCCCATGCCCATATAAAAAAAATAATATTCGCCGACCCCCAGGGCCTCCTAGACGTGTGAGATTGTTGCCCCTCCCCAAACCCCGCCCCTGGGAGCTCAGTCCGGCAAGTTTGGAGGGGGAGGGGGGGGGAGGGCAAACATGTTGGCGCCCTCAGGAAGGGGGAGAGGGGACGGGCTGGGGGGGAATCAAACGCGCTGGCGGCTTCATCTGGTACAAGCTCCCAGACAGCGTCCGATGGCATCCACAATGCCCCAGCCGCTCCCAGACGGCCCGAAGTGGCCTCCATGTCGCCCTGGATGTCCCCAACGCCCAAGATGGCCTCCAGACACCGCAAGAGGCCCCCAAGAGGCCACGAAAAGGCTGCAAGAGGACTCCCAAAAGGGCACCAAAAACCAAACATCGCAACACTCCCTTTTAAGAGCACGTACATGTTTAGCAGATTCGCCTTCTCGGTCTTCACAGCCTTCTTGTTCTTCTTGTTGCATATTCGAGCCCAGTCATCATGGCGCAGCCGGTCTTGCACACAGGGGGAAAGGAGGAAGATGAGGAGGAGGAGGAGCAGAGGCGAGCTCCGCAGGCTCGCGCGGGCGTCACAGCGGACCGCTGATGACGCCGCCGGCGGTGGTGACCGCGGATCCCGCCATCAGGGGAAGACCCCATTCTCGAGGAAGATGGTCCTCGTAGGCCAGCCGCCGTGGCGGTCCAAAGGGGCACGTAATGCTTCTGGAGAAGTGCAAGGTCGTCTGTCTTCACGAAGGCCCCCGAGGCACTGGCGACTTCTGGGCTCCACAGCGCCCGCCCCCCGCAGCCCGCAGAGAGCGCGGGCGGCGGCCTGACGGCTCGGGCCCACTCGCGCCCCTGTGCTCCCCCAAGAGTTGAGCAGGGACCGACCGTGCTGGCTTTCAGATAGGCCTAATTACAATAGCTTCGTGCGGCGTCAGCACGCGCAAAGGTTTTGACACCGCGTCGATCGTTCAACCGTGAATCGATCGCGACCCCGATCGTTCAAGGTTGAATTCCGTCGGGTCTAGTGGCGTTACCATGTCCATCGGTGCTGCCGTGTCGCGGAATTCAACCATGAACGCATTCGCTGGCGTCGCTAGCGCGCCAACACCGCGTGAACCTACCGTACAACGACATGTTCTCAGAATAAGCGGACGGTAACGAACGCTCGAAAGGCAAAAACCATGTTCTCGGAGAATGCAGCCGATATACTAAAACAAGACGGTCCTGGGCAGACATATACGAAAAGTATGTCGCACCAACAACCGCAAAGGTTCTTCGTGCGAACCACCGAGAAGGCTCTAGAGCAGGCCTGGACGATTCATCACTGCTTGAAAGAGAAGGAACGGCTCCAGTTCCGATGACGACGACGACGACGACGACGACGACGGCACGACGACGACGACGACGACGACCACAACGACCACGACGACGACGACGACGAGAGCGACGACGACGACCCTGAGATCCTGGCGTCGCAACTCTGTTCACAACGGGCGATCTTGCCTCGTTTCGGCCCCGGGACCCTCACGGATCGATCCTGCTTGAAAGATGTCGCGGAAAGGCTAGGTCCAGGGTTCTGGTCGAATTCGTACAATGTTGTGTTTTGTTGATCGTGACGGCGGATCTCAGGCGAGGACGACGACGACGATGACGAAACGACGACGACGACGACTACGACGACGACGGCCGCCAAGTTGAGTTTAGGCTCGGGGGCAGGCTGACATCGATTACGGATCGCGGAAGGTCCAGTGCCGCACGATCTGGCGACAACGCGCGGCGAATCAGTACGGAATCGGGACCCGCCGCTGATCCACCACCCGCCTCACTTCGTGCTTGCGCTCCCTCGAGGCCCAGAAACATGTACTCTGCAGGGCAGCTCGCCCCCCTCCCTCCCGCCCACCCCCCCCGCTCTCTCGAGCAGCGCCGGGCCAGAAAAAGGCGTGCCAGCGCGTCCAGACCTGCGCGAAGCCCCGATTTCCCTTCGGGCCTCGCCCTGCCCCCTGCCCCTCCGCCCTCCCCCCCTTGGGGTCAGGACCTGTGGCGGGAACGAAACTTACCAGCGACGATGACGTCGCGAAGAATGCTCCTGCATCGCGAATATGATCTCCAACAGAGCCTTCGACAACAACTTTCTCTGGGGCATTTTTCGGGCCGGATCGATCCGTGAGTCGGCGCGCCGAGGGGAAAGTGAACAGGGCAGCCCTTCTCAGAAGCCCTCTGTGGCCTCAGAAAAGCCTTGTAAACTCTTCAGGAGACTTAGGGCCTCCCAAGCCTTCTGAGAAGGCCCACCGCCATCTGCTTTCCCCCCTGGGCGCGCCGCCGAGTGCGGGTCCCAGGGCCCGAAGACGGATAAAAACGCCCCGTCTGAGAGAAATGCCACACATGTATGTCAGGGGATGGCGGTTCGTCTCGGTTCGGGCCCCGCGGGTGACTTTTCCAAAACATTGCTGCACTCGACACGTGAGCGACGAACAAAATGGGTCTTACGCGAGATAAAATAGCGACCTTGCGCGGTGGCTTGCGCGGCCGCCAGCGCGGCGCGCCACATTGAAAGCGAAGGCGCCTGCGCGCGACCTTACGAGGGCACCTTCCTTGCGAATGCCCGCGCAATCGAATATGTTTTCTGCGTCGAATACCGGGACGCCGTCTCCACGGCAATCGAAAGTAAGTCACACTGGGCCTTTTGTCTGCAGGGCCTCTCGGGCTCGGCTCGCGGCGCCACTGCAGGCGGCCCCCCGCAACCCCGGCGCGCAGCCCGGCTTTGTGCCAGCCACTCGGGGGCCAGCACTCACGGTGGCTCCCAGGGCGCGAGCTAATTTCCGTTTTCGTTTGCCTCCGTTTTCCCTCGCTCTGTCGATTTGCCACCTTTGCTGCAAGACGAAGCCAATACGAAAACGGTCCACGAGATCGCCAAAACGCCGTTCAGCTCGCGCCCTGGTGTCTCCCCTCCCTCCCCTCCCCGCCCGCTAACGCCCAATCCCCCGGACCACCCGGAACCCGTCCCCTCCCTCGCAACTCGATGGGCACAGCCGAAGCCCTGGCGTCAGCCGAGGGCGCGGCACCCCTCGCACTGGGACGTGAAAAACGAAACCGGCGAAGGCGAGGAGAACTACGACGACGGCGAGGTGCGGCAGCCCGCCTCGACGGCGGCCATCAGCAGGGGGAACTCGCCGCCGAGGAAGGCCATGGCGATGCCGACCACCACGGGCAGCGCCTCCTGCGGGCATCTCTGGCCTTACGTCGTCGTCGTCGTCGTCGTCGTCGCCGCCACCGCCGCCACCGCCGCCGTGATCGTCGTCGTCGACGTCGTCGACGTCGTCGACGTCGTCGTCGTCGTCGAAGTCCTCCTTTTCTTCCTCCTCCTCCTCCTCTTCCTCTTCCTCCTCCTCCTCCTCCTTCTCCTCCTCCCCTACAGATATCCTGCTTTTTCTATTTCTATATATATAGACAGATACATGTACGAAACTCTCCATGTGTATATATCTTTCTTTCCCTCGATAGATGGTTACAATACTTGTTATATTGTTATGTATGTCTCTCTGTCCCTATTATATTTCTCTCGTTATCTCTCTCTCTCTCTCTCTGCCTCTCTATTAATTTTTCTCTTTTTCTGCCTCTCTCTCTCTCTGTCTCTTTCTGTCTCTCTCTTCCTTTCTCTTTTGTTTCTCTCTCTGTCTTACTGCGCACCGCTGGCGCCGCCGCAAAAGACCCCCTCGGAGCGACGCGCTTCCTCGCGGCAATGCAAGGGGCGCCTCTCGCGCCCGCACCGCCCAAACTCCCCCGCGACCCCACCGCAGCGGGAGGCACCGACGGCCCCGATTGAACGCACGTTCCTGGCCATGCCGTTAGTCGACGCCGTAGCTGCCCAAGACGACCAAACGCCAGCGGCTCCAGGGGGGCAACCCTGGCCACGCCGCTAGTACCCAGCCAAGGAGCAAGACCTCAAACAGCACCTCACGTCAGCCGAGACCCCGGGTAAAGGTCGCGGCCATCCAGCAACTTGGCCAGGTACTGCTGCTTCTTCTGCCCCGCTGAGGTCGCCATGACTGGCAGCGGTCCAAGGCAGACCTGCTTGAACCAATTGGCCCGATCTGGCCTCGCCGCTCTGCCGAAGGGACCGCACCTTGGCAGAAGATGCAAGGCCAGTCCGACTGCGGGAGGCGGCCCATCTCCGGCGCCCGGCGCAACTGCCCCCGCCGAGCGGACGCAGTTCGACGGGGGCCAATAGGCCCGCCCAGAAGCTTCGCCTTAGGCGAAGCGCAGCTCCAGCTCTGTTGTACCGTAGTAACGATAGCCCCGGTCGGAGGAGGTTGTCGCGGGAGCGACGGGCCATTTCAAGCTAAGGACGTTTTCGGTCTCGATGGCAAGTAGAATACCTCGCAATGAGGCAGCATCATATTTTGGCGGCCGGCCGCTTGAACACAAACGGCCGCGGACACACGCTCGCTATCTCTCGCCCTTGTCACAGCTCACTTTAGAGTCGGGGGGAAGGGAGACGAAGCGCGAGTCCGCCGCCCCAACACAGCAAACACTATATACACAAAAGGCAGCAAAAGGCGGGTCCGAAAGGAAGGTGGGCCCGCAAGAAAGTTGCCTTGCGAGCACATTGCTGTGCATACGATTACTCCTCAGGCGGCCTCAGACGATGCTGCCTGGACAGCCCGATAAGGGGCATGACGTTTTAAGTCATGCTTGAAGGATCGCGTGCCTCCCATGACCAGTAGAAGCATATATCTGTCAATGCTCCCCTTTATGTGACCGTCCGCGGTCATGTCGCGAGTGTCAGACAACTAGATGCCATGCACGGTTCCTCGCTCCATCATCAGTCGCATCTAACTGATGCGCCCCAAAAGAGTACACGCAGTTGGCTTCTTCAGGTCTTTGCTCCACAAGGACTTGAAAACACATTCAGCATATATGGTCAGAGTGACCTTAATGCTCAGGCCAACCAACTCCAGTATATATTTTAACTAAGTGGGTGTCCGTGGACATGCATGGAGTTCGTGCAGAGACACAATCGTGGGATAGCAGTCCTCCAAGTTGTGGGCTGCTGCAAGTGTTTCTGCTGAGTAGCTTGAGCGGACCTGCAAGCAGCGCCTTGCAGTGCGCATCGATCATGTGGACGACAGGCTTATCGGATGGCGCGCTTCCACGTTGTAGCAGGTTTGCCATCGCACGCGCCATCGGCATCTCCACTCAGGCGTCGATAGCTGGAGTCGGTGCGCAGGTCAACTTCGCCCGTTGGAGTCGCGCTCAGTCGTCGCAATTGTATATCGGTCGGTTCTTGGACACGCTGTAGAGAGACCACAGATATCATCAACCACACTTGCGTGACTTATGCGTAAGCCAACGCGCCTCTGAGGCTGACGAACATGTCAGCAACCATCTTGGATGCTTTGGCGTCAGCGTCTGCGCCTGTGAGTTCAGGATGTTGTAGAGGACGGAGTTGTTTGATGTATTCATCTTGGCCCAGCGTAACATCACCGCCCCCGTCCTTTGCGTACCTCACAGCGCAATGGGTACATGTATGTTTGTTGGGCTTGCAATAAGTGCCCTCGACGCACTTGACGCACTGGTCAATGGTATCCTCCGTGCCGGCCATATGGATATCATCAACATGCTTGGCTGCGAGCAGGCCACTGCTCGTCTCGAACTCCTCGTCGAAGGACGTGGGCATGAGACCAAAGCCTCTCGTGGTCCTTCTGAGATTCAGTGAGAAAGCACTGGGTGCATCCTTGGCGCCGATGCCGGGCTTGAGGCACTGCGGGCAATGCTTCGACTCGTCGTAGCGCTCGAATCCGCATCCTGGAGGGGATCGAAAAACCGGTGCCGATCCAGGCGGCAAGGTAAAGCACGCCACACGTGCCGACTCACCAGTTGCCTCAGGAAGTTCCTGTTCAGGAACGCCATATTGACGCCCAGGGAAGCAATGATCCATTGCCTCTTGCACGCCGCCGCGCTTGCGAGCACTCTCTGGCTCGGCCGCCGCGCTGTTCCTGAGAGCGTTTCCACATCGGAAGCCTCGAGGTCCATATACCCCCGAAGTACCAGGCGCAGTCCGATGGTGCGCCCCATGTCGCCCTGCCCGTTCTTCACAAACTTCCATGTATATACGCACCTCGAAGTCATAATGCTTGACGCTTTACATATATATGTATATGTGTATAGCTATCGCACATTGAAACACCCGTTGTCACAATCTATAAGCCTTTTGATACCTTCTCGGGATTCCCCCGAATGTCGGCCTTCGCGAGGAGGTCGTCTTCCTTGACAACCACAGCTCGTTTTGCGGCGGCGGCGACATATACTCGCATGGTGGTCACGCGGTCGACATCTAATATTACATGCTGTTGTTCGGATAGGACCACCTTTGACATTTCTGCAATGAAAAAGAGTTCACATATTGACCAGTTTCGTCCGAGTCCAATCCGTAACTGTGGTCTTCGACCGTAGAGCATGGTGGGACATGATACGTCTCCTCGATGTCGGAGTCGCGCGGGTAACCCCACTTAGGCAAGTGCCCCCGCTGTTCTTCAGCTACCGTGACCAGCACACTGCTGCCGGTGATCATATGCGCGGGTACAAAGTAAAGGTCATCTAATGGAATTGCCTCCAATAGTTCCCTTTCTTCACGTAGTTCTGTGCACAACACCTCCATAACATGTGCCTCAAGGTCCGCTTCTGGTTCCTCATAGATCGTGGGAAGCCGTCCACCCTCCTGTGGTGGTTCGGCTTCTGGGGTCTCTCTGGCGTTGTCGTCTTGCGTCGGCATGTCCGCCAGTTCCTCAAACTTTGCCATATATCGGTCGAAGCCCGCCTGAGGTTTAGTGGACTGTCGGCACTGAATGACTCTCGAATGTGATGATCCAGTTGTATCATGCGCATTCCCGGCAGTGCCTTTCGCTTCATAGTAGTGGAACCCTGGATTCACGTCGTTGTCATAATGTACCAACGTGCAGCTGTCAGCACAAGCCACCGGCGGTAGCTTGTGAATAGTCTCAGCTAACCCAACAGAAACTGCACTCTCGATACGGAAGAAATTCCTGATAAAGTAGTGTAAAACTAAATGTACTTTGGGAGATAGTCAGCTCGCACTGGCCATCTGAAGCGTTCCCCTTTCTGGTCGGGACATTGCCTATCGTCGTTGCAGGTCCCCCCGCAGGTAAACTGGCAACAAATGTCAACACTGTCCGCAAGGCAGCGTTGTCAGAGCCAATCTCTCGGGCTATCAAAGCTTCGATGTAGAGTGAACGTCGTGCGTCGCCATATTAGACTCGTACATGGCGATTTCCAAATCGAATAATGGCTTGACCCTTTCGGGATCACTCCGCGCAACCGGGAGCGAGCCACTCCAGCCTCCTCAGTCGTCCTTCGTAGTTGCGGGACGATGATAGTCAACCAGATCTTCTTCATCGTAATAATGCTTACAGGTACTAGTTGTCTCAGTACGTAATGCACGATGGGTCTTGGCTACTGCAGTAGCCTGTGTGAAAGCTTGACTGCATGCCCGGCGTATCACCTGCTCTCGAGACTGGTTAGACGTCTCTGTCGGCTGTTCGTGATCCAGAACAGGAAGGTCAGGAAGCATTACCGGCTGCCGTCCAAACAAAGCGGTACATGGAGACACCTCATTGTTGAAGGTGGATGCATTGGCGACAAACAAAGAATCGTGCAGTTGTCGTGTGAACACAAGAGGTAGATCTAACCTTTTTGAATTCAGTTTCCATGACGTGAAGAAGATGGCGTAGCATGCCGCTTCTGGCTTCAATTGTCGTAGCGCGTTGTCCACGCGCGCGTGTCCTCAGCTCAGTACCTTTTGCCTTGAGGACCGCCTTTGCAGCGTCGATGTTGATAGGCACCGTCCCCATCGGAGCAGAGTACCTTAGCAGGTCCGAACTGCATCCAGCACTGATGATACGCATCTAGGATACTGGTCATTGTTTTTTTATGGTACTTCCATTCAAGTAGCATATCGAATACAGCGACCAATGGTGTGGAATATATGATGTTCCTGTTTGTAGCACATCAGGTCAGATTCGATTTCTTCGTTGAACTTGCCAGGTAGCGCGGCAGGTAGCATAGCGGCATGCCCTGGCTTGTCCCAGGCTCTGCGCCCCCGACATGCGTCACAGACACCTGTGACCAGGTTGAGCCTGACGCTGTCCGGACCAGTTTTGGCTAAGACGAGTCTCATCGTAGGACCTAGAGCATGGAACC